AGAGGTATTACCATTATTAATATTATATATTATATATATTATACAACTAGATAACAATTACAGATGACAGTTTCATTGCCTCTAAGTTACGCTGTCGCTCAATCAATCAATCAGTAGAGAGCGAGCAACGTTTACATTTCAACAATACCTCGCAGCAAACCAAAAAAGTTTTATTTGATATCAGATGCACGCAAATAATACTTCTCTGCTCGCTCAGAGGGAATGCCCAGCGTCTGATTGATAGATTCCCCACTCCAAGGTCATGAACGACTGATCACATCCTTAAAATAGTTCAGATCTCGAATGAATGCAGTATCGATCAAAATAATTGATCACACACTCCTCTACATATCTACATATGTATGTAGTTTTGTATAGCACAAGAATATAAAAGTCTAAAAAACAAAACTCTTGTGAATTCCAAAAATAGTTTTGTATTTTTATGCCTTTACACCCTCGAATGCCTAGACTCTTATACGTTTATACTCTTATACTCTTCACACTTGCACTATTAGACCTTTAGGGTCGCCACTCTATAATCCTTTTCCCGTATGTGCTTATATCATAATACTCTGATATTCGTAAACACTTATTGTCTTCGATTGAAACATTCAGACTCATAATTGTATACGACTATTGGAGTAATACATATATACAGTTTGTAGGGTATCTAGAGGGAATAAGACTAGCCCTCGCCCTGTGCTCATATCCTTTGCCTCTCTGTAAACACCCATGTTGTTTATAGACCTAAACTCTTAGTGTCGAGGAATGAACAGATTTCTTTTCATATTTAAAAATCCAAGTTCAAACATCGAACACGAAAAGTGAAAGCCGAGTGATTTTGACGCACCCAAATAAAGTAATACCTGGAATAGCCATGCTGTACAAGGTGTTCCTTTGTATGAAATTGAAATCGAACTTTCAACAATAATTTCACAAAACTAATTGAAGTAAAATTCCAAAAGCTTCAGGTAAATGTCTCTATATGATATATGCAACATTTTGTTGTAGGCTTTATAAAGTTTGCAACTTTTAGTTAAGCTTTAACAGATGAGGACTGAGCTTTGCCTTTTTGTCATAAAGCCAATTTTCATGGAACTCCAATGTAAAATATCTTGTAGATTATGCATACATATATTAAATTTCGAATCAGTTTTGAATAATTTCAATATGTAATTGAAATTTTAGACGCATTTCTGATGTTGTTTTTTTAGGGTAGGCCAACATTTACTTTCCATTAGGCATATTTAAAGCTTAAAGCAAGTTTGCTATAAGACGAATGTGTATGTATGTGTGTGTGTGTGTGTTTATGTGTAAAAGCATCTACTGGCTAATAGGCTAAATTAGACGACGACGACGATGACGACGACGAAAGACAGGACAGAAATGAAGGAAGCAAGCAGCAAGCAGATCAACAGCGAGTGCGAGCGAGAGAAGGCGAAGGGAAGGGGGGTGCAGAAGTTGTAGCAGCAAGAGGCAACGGCAAGAGGCAAAGAGAAAAGCCTTTAAAAGCGTTTAAGCGCAACATGAAGAGAATAAAAGTGCGTTTTGCAATCAAAGTAAAAATGCGAAAGCGCTGCAAAAAAAAAGAAGGAAAATATATAGAAAATGTAGCAAAAAAAAAGAAAAAGGAGCCGTATGAGGCAAGGAGAAGACATGAGAGCAGCGGGAGAGTGGGAGCAGCATAAGCTAAATGAGTTGAAGGACGGCAAGGCGGGCAAAATGGCTGAGCGAAAGAAAAGGCAGCAGCGGTCGGCGCGGAGTGAGGGAGGGGCGGGTAGAGCGAGTGGAGTGGAGTGAGCTAACGGGAAGCACAACTGAGAATATCAAAGCGTTGGCAAAATGGTGGCTCGCTGGCGCCCAAGCAGAGTGACAGAGAGAGAGGGAGAGAGAGATAGCGAGCACGAGTGCGGGGGTAACGGTAAAGATGAGGGCTTGGCACTTTGCGGGAGCAGCCAACCATTTTTTGTTGTCTACGCTCGCAATTCGTCTCATTTTTTTCCTCTTTTTATTTTTTATTATTATTTTTTTTTGCTTTGTTGTTGTGTGCAGTTTTTGCTGCTTGTTGTTGTTGTTGTTGCTGTGCGGCAGCTATTTGAAATTTTTTAAAAGATGCTTTTAGCGGTAAATAATGAAAAGTTAAAAAACCACATCAATGGGATACATTTTTGCTTTCTTAGAGGAGAAAGACAAAGAGATATAACTGCAGAGTGAGAGAGTGAGAGAGAGAGAGAGAGAGAGAGAGAGAGAGAATAGCAGAGTGGTGTTAGAAGCACTCTGCACAGCATCTCATGTGCTGATTTTTTTTCCTTTGTCAAATGCATTTAAGTGAGCCAAAATCAACAGACACTAATGCACAATGCAGTAGACGGGCATGTACCGTTACATTCTACTCTGTGAATTGTATAATATGGTCTAGCTATACGTATGCTGCAGTCGGTAGAGTCTGCTATATTTCACACGACGAATCGAAGAAGAAGCTTATTATATTTTACAGAACATTAGATAGTCGACACATTGTTTCAAAAACTATTCGAAATCCTTAAGAATCTACGAAGATGGTAAGTAGAAGAATAATTTGTTAAGCTAATCATATACAAGGCCCAAGTGGAAGTAAAGCAGATTCTTGTTGATTCTACGGTTTGGGCATATTTTGAAGTACAGGGTACTTGCTAGTCCAGCACGCTTAGCTGACTAATTTAACTACACTTTTTTTATTGTTTTGGCCTTCCAGAAATGATGAGCAAAAGATGTCCAATAGCCAAGCCAGGGCAAAGCCAACTAGCCAACCAAGAAGCAAACTCTGTGTGCTCGTTGTTCCTGTAGTTGTTGTTGTTGTTGTTGGCGGTCATAGTTGTCGTAGTAGTTGTTGTTGTTGCTGTTGTCCATTCGTTTGGTCGGCATTTTGGGGTTTTGGTTTTTACTTGTTTTTTTTTTTTTTTTTTTTTAACTTTGGCTTTGTTGGTTGAATAGATAGATGGAAGGTCCTAATTGATGTTATGATCATCATCATCATCAACAACAACAAAAGCAACAACAATCATAACATCAACTCGTTGTTGTTGTTGTTGTGTTTTTGGGATATTGCATTTTGCGGTGCACGCGGCGTATGAGCAACAAGGACAAGGGCCCAAAAAAAGCCGAAATGGCACAGAACGTAGCTAAATGGAATGGAACGGGCAAAGTGACAGAGTGAGAGCGAGAGAGAGTGAGAGAGAGAGCGGGAGAGCGGGAGAGCAGTAGGGGGGCAATCGTTTGGCAATGGCTGCCATTTTGCAATGCTTCGACATGGCAGAGGAAAAGGGAGGAGCAGCACTGTAGTGCAGTGTAGAGTAGAGAGCGTATTGGAGCGTACTAGTGTGAGTGAAATGGGGAGAGTGCGAGTTTGCAATGTTAACTCGACAAAATGGTTAACTGCAAACTGTAACTTTCGAGAGGGTTATATTAGGAGTGTGTGTGTGCATCTGTATGTCTGTGTGTGTGTGTGTGTGTGTGTGTAGATACAATTTGTAATGATACACAAATTAGTATCCTAAATGGATGCTTAATAGCCAAACTGGTTGTTTTCCAATTGCGACTACGAAATGCACACAAACCTGAGCGAGTGTTGCTGCCTTCTGTGTGAGTGTGTGTGAGCAAGCTTTTGGTTATGAATATACACACATGTATGTATGTGTGCATGTGTATGGCAAACAGGTTATTGCGGCCTTTTGATGTCGCCAATCGGGCAGTAGATTGAGAATTGGGATTGGAATTGGAATTGGTAATGCAGCTGAACATATACATATCTATATATATATATATGTAAATATAGATATATGTGTGTGTGTGAGTGCACTTAAAAGCAGTTTTAAAGCCAAATGCATTTTATACAGATGCATTGGCAACTGTAAAGCTTAAGCAACTGCAAAGAGAAAGTTGAAGTAGTAGAAAAATCATTTTATAACTAACATGGAAATGACTTATAATGAGCCTTAATTATGTTATCAATGAATAAAATTGAAATAAAATATTTAAATATACAATGGAGGACAATATGAAGGAAATGCTATTGCTATAGTAAGCTGAGCATGTTAGTAGCCTAATGGAAGGACCAAAAAATACAGAATATTCAGAATTTACAATCTAGGAATATGGAATATGGAATCAATGAACAAGCCCAGACATTTATGGAAGCGACATATAACAGCACTTTAGATAGATCAGATGTGTTTAAAAGTGAAGTTTGTGAATGTATCGGAAACGAGTTGCATAAAGTTGCAAAACAACCAATGGAGAACGCCTGTTAACCAAAATGGACCAGCTAAAAGTGCTTTATGAACTAACTGAATGAAATTATAATTAAGAATTTATACAAAAATGTAATGGATAACCATCTGAAGTCGGGTATAAACAACAATGAATAAATAAGTGAAAAGAATAACGACGAATAAGAATAATGAAAGACGAAATGAGCTAAAGAACGATTGAACATCATCCATGAACAAAGAAAATAAACAGAAAAGAGTATGTTCAAGGAACCAATACCTCGAATCAGCATAAGTGCCAAAAATTAGGCTCATGCTCATAAAACTATAAAAATTAACTGCCAATGAGAATAATTGCGAAAAATCCAATCAGATATTTCCATAAATATTGATATTGAAAAATGTTCGCGCTGAGGTCAGAAAAAGTTTTGCTCGCCCTTTTATGCAATTTAAGCGGGCCTACTGACCAACAGGACAAGCCTTTAAGCCACATGTGTGTGTGTGTGTGTGTTTTATACAAAGAGATGAAATCATTTCGAGCAAGCCAGAGCTCCAATAAGATGAAAAATAAACGAGCAAAAAATGGGAAAAAATGAAGAACAAACAAATGAGAAAAGTAAAAAGAAAATGGTAATAAAAAAGAAAGAGAAAAAATAAAATAAAATAAAAGCTGAGGCAGTGCTTCAAAGCGAACGGCGAACGCAATAGAGAACGAGCATACGAATGCGAACGGGAACAAGGACGAGAACGAGGATGAAGATGCGCGTCGCCGTCGTCGGCAGCAGCAGCAGAGAGGACAAAGTCAGTTGGTTCAAAAGTATTGTTTTAAGGATTACAGCGAATGCGACGACGACGGCAAAGAAACTGCCAAAGAAATGTGGCAACAGCGCCAGCGTGCGACGGCAATAGCGACGGCGACGGCGACGTCAACGTCAGCGTCGACGTCGACGTCTGCCACATTTAACGAACACTAATTCATTGCGCTGCCAGCGCAGCAGCGGCAGCAACAACAAACAGCAGCCATAGTGATTTTACTGGCAACTGCTGCTCTCTGATTGGTCAGAAGTTGTGGCGCATTGGCTGTGCGAAGGCGCACACGTTAGCCAGAGCGAGACAACTAGCTGGCACTCGTGTGCAATTCGCTGTCCCCATTGACGCGGCCTTTGGCTGGGGCAACATTTTCATTTGATGCGCGTCGCTGGCAGCAGGCACAACACATTTTCCTCGCCGTGAACTTCACTACCAGCTCGGACTGTGTATGTATGCACATGTGCGTCTGTGTGTGTGTGTGTGTGTGTTGTGGCAGACTCAGGGGATTCCAATTGGCATTGCGGCTGCTTTTTAATGAGTAGGCACGCTATCTCGCTCTCCTTCTCGCCACTGCTGATGCTGCTGCTGCTGCTGCTGATCGTTGCGGACAGTTTGAGAGGCACAGCCAAACTGTGTCAAACTGTGCGACTCTGTTTCTTTCGCAATTAATTTGCGCACTTTCACTGCGCCGCAAGTTTTGCAAATTAGCCAGTTGCAGTTGTTGCCGACAAAGGATGTGTGTCAGACAAGCAAAAGTATGAAAAACTTTTGCAAGTCTAATAGGATAAATGTTGTTTTATGCGTACGTGCGAGCGAGCGAGTCAGCAACACCAACACCAACACTAACAACACCATTAACAACAGCAGCGAGCCTTATTGGATCAAACAAAAACATGGCATACGTATGGACAGCTGCTCGCACATACACACACACACACTCAAGCACACACACGCACACAGTCAAACGTCTGGGTAACTACTAACGAAATTAACCAAGCAAGTTAAAGCGAGACAACAGCTGCTGCAGTTGTCATATGCGTGCGAGCAGGCCGGCCTCTAGCTGCAACTGGCACAAAATGGCGCATGCTGTCGCACTCGACATGCACGCAGCGTTGCCAGACTAGCCGTCAACGGCAGCGACAGCAGCAGCGACGCCAGCAGAAGTTTCATTATTTTTCAAATTATTAGTACGGCTAACGATTCGTGGTCTCATAGACATACGCACACACGCATACACTAACCACCAATCGTTCGCGCGCAACCCGCAATACTCCCACTGTTAGCAAAAGCAACCCCCAGCCGCAGCAGCAGCAGCATTGGCAGTGGCAGAGGCAGCGCAGCAACAGCAGAAGCATCAGCCGAGCTGCGCAGCTCAGCTTCGTGCAGAGCACATGATCCTTAATTTCGTTATAATTTTGTATGTTGGCTGAAATTGTATATCATTTTAAGTTTGATCGGCCGCGAATACGTACCGTTGTGCGTGCGACAACAACAACAACAACAACAACAATAATAACAACAACAACAGCAACGTCAGCAGCTACAACAACATCAATAGCCTAACAATTCACAATAGTTGCGACATTAGCTCACACACAAACACAGCTCGCACACACCCACACATCCACACAGTTGCGTGTTTCTTCGAGGCGTTCGTTGTTCATATTTGTTGTTGTTTTTTTGTTGATTTTTTCTTCGTTTGCCGTCGGCGTTGCCGATTTTTGCTTTAGCAGCGGCAACAAACCAACAAAACCAACAGTCGCTGCAACGGCTTTCGACATAACGGTGCCACACAACACGCGACGCAACGCCAATTGCAGATCCAACCATAATAATAACAACAACAACAACAACAACAACAAATAACAATAATAATTAATCAACAAAATAAAACGGCTCGAAAATCAACTGCTCACAATTTTTTTCCAATAAGAGTTTGTATTTTTTTCAAGTGTCCCAAAAAGCCGTCGCCATTTGCAAAAAAATAAAATTGAAAGAAAAAATAATAATAATAATGTGCGCGCGTGTGTGTACGTGAGTGCAAGGAGCACGGCAATAATAACAAATGCAAATGATTTGCATTAAGTGTGATTACCAGAAGAGCAAGAGCGAAGGCAACTGACCAAAGCGCCGCATCGCAGCGGGCCAATTAAAGACAAGGCGCCATATTGAGAGGCGCCATTTTTTTTAAATACAACAATTTATCAAATCCAAGAGAATGCGCCATTGTGTAACAACAATTTAGCAAGTGACAAAAGAGGCGCCATTTTCAAAAATAGCACAGCTAAGATCAAACACGTGTTTGACTAGCAATAAGTGAGAATATTTCGTAAGAAACAAAAACATAAACAAAAAGGAAAAGTGTAAAATCAAATTGAAAACTCAAACGTCAACGAGACATTAAAAACGAAAGTAACAAATTCTCAATCCTCAGACCCAAGCAAGCCATTGGAACGAGAGGAGCTTAGGTTAGCTCAATCGAAATTTTATTTACGTAAAAAAGAACGCGCGCATCTTGCCGCGTTACAGCCTCCAGTTGGATTATTCAATAGATTTCTTCAAAACGTATATCGATACGCAGCGTTTTTACGCCGGCCACAAATTGGATTTCAAACATCAAAGTTGTGCCGGCGGCCCTGGTACCGGTGTAGGCGGCGTCGGATTGCCAGCTGGATTGGTAGGAGTCGTCGGCAACAGCAGTACAAACGGTCAGCAGCAACAGCAGCAGCAGCAACAACAGCAACAGCAGCAGCAAGCGTTGCCCTCCAACGGGAGCAATAGCAGCCACGCCCACAGTCACGCACACGCCCTAGCAGCAGCACACGCACATCACCAGCAACAGCAACAGCAGCATCAGCAACAACAACAACAGCAGCAGCAACAACAGCAACAACAGCAGCAACAGCAACAGTTGCCGGCGGGAGCTGCGCCACTGCAGCAGCAACAATTGCAGGTAGCTCAACAGCAGCAGCAACAACAACAGCAACAGCAGCAACAACAACAGCTAGATCAGCTGCACGGCACGCCCACACTCCTAATAGGCAACGGGCCAGGCTCGACGGGCCACTCGACGAGCCACTCGACGGTCTCATCGACAGCGGCCGCCGCTGCCGCCGCTGCTGCTGCCGCCGCTGCAGCATCCGCCGCTGCCGCATCCGCTGCGGCCTCCGTTGTTGCCTCCTCGTCATCGACCTCGGTGGCGGCGGTGCCGCACAGCTTGGGCCTGAGTCCGCAATCGAGCGCCGATTCGCAGCAGTTCAACATCTTTCCAGCCATATTTAGCAGGCAGCTCAACTTCTCGGCGGCTGGAGCGTGCGGTCAGGCGGGCAAGCTCAGCATGGACGAGCTGCGACCCAATTTGGTGGGCGGTTTGCTTGGCTTGCAGCAGGGTCTGCTCGAGGATCATGCGAGCATGCAGCACGCTGCGGCGGGCGTTGGCGTTGCCCAGGACACCAAGTTCATGTCCTTCCAGGACAATCGCCTGATGGGCATCGGCGGTGCGCACGAGAATCGCCTGCTCAGCCTGGCCAGCTCGGTGCAGGACACCCGCTCCCCAATCACCACGCTCGACAAGTCCTCCTCGTCCTCGCTCAACCACCAGCGCAAGTGCAGCAGCACGCCCGAGGACTTCAGTGCTCTCTATTCGGGCTTGCCGACGCCTGGCATGGACTCCTCCTCGCACCACCACACGCCGGCCCACACGCCGCCCTCTCGACTCTCCGATCACACCATATCAGGTAAGTTCCATCACTGACCCCGCTCTTTGCTCCCTGCCCTCTCCCTATTCCACAATTGTGCAGTGAACGGATTAACGCCTGCTGCCAATTGTCTCCCGGCTCAACTGCCCTTTGTCGCTGGCCTCTGCATTACTCCTTTATGTGAGCATATCCGTTTGCCACATTTCCTCGGCCTAATCGCAATTGTTGTGACAGCAAAAGGACAAAAATCAGCTGCTAATAGGCACATTCGCTGTCCTTTAGCCTCGTGCCCTTGCTCGTGCTCTGCCAAGGCTCTGGCTTTAGCTCTGTAATCCAAGCTAATCGTTGAGTCCTTTCAATAGCCCAGCTTTTGTTCTCGACTAGCTGATACAGTGCAAATGAAGGGGGAAAGGGGAAGGGGAAGAGGAAAGCGAAAAACTGTAGAGTTGAAATAAGTAGAAGCGATATTGACGAGAGAATAGAGGGATAAGAGACTATAAGAGTACGAAAAACAGAGAGAAGAGAGGAGAAACAGGCTTGAGAAACGGCGAATAGAAGATAAATAAACATTATATATAACTAACATGAACATTGCAGATAAGTAAGGAAAGGTACATAGAATGACAGAGAAGAAGAGATATGTTGAATGAGAAAAGAGAGGCAGAGAGAAAGGCCAAGAAGAAACAACATAAACTCCTCTTATAGTAGAACAGATGGGGAGAGAAAGGTACTCAGTAGTCCCCAATGATCACAGACAAACCCACAAGTCCAGTGAACAATGAACTAGTTCGGGGAATCGAACCTGAACTTTGAGAGCTATGACTGCATAATGTATATTGATACTCTCTTGCAGAAAGCAAAAAATATTTGATTCGATTTGGATTTCACATATTGAAAAATATTTCATTGATCTTATCGTTTAGAACTAGCTGAGAAGCCAAAGCAAAGCGATATACCAAAGAGACATGACTTAGAAGAGAGTTGGAAGAGAGGAACCCAGTAGTGGAATATAGAAGGAACAGCAGTAGGGAGAGAAGCGATAATGAGTTAGGATTAGGCGAGAAGTGCAGGCAATGCATAATACTTGCGCAAAAGAAGAAAGAGAGAATGAGCAAAACGATAGGGAAGAGAAGGGTAAAGAGTAGAAAGAGAGAGAGAGAGAGAGAGAGAGAGAGAGATAGACTAGAGAAGTAAACTTCGATGATATATAAGAAAAAAGTCAAAGGTATTGAGAAATAGAGATTAGAAATCAGGATCACATAGAAAAGGAAAAGAGTAATAAAAGAAAATCTAGTGTGAAGGAAGAAGTGAACAGAAAGGAAAGCGAATATTAAGAGTGGCAAAGGTAATTCGAAACTATGTCATGCAAGTGACAAGAGCGAAGAGTGTAGAAAGAGCAGGGATAATTAAAGGAAAAACAGACAAAAAATCCATAGAGAAACAATGGAAAAGATGCAGAGAACTGAGTTGAAAAGAAAACAAAGCTGAGGATCGCTCATGGGCCAGGAAATGATTTAATCCTTAATGACCTTGACAAGGTCACGAAAGCTTAACTGCGATAGCCAAAGAGAGAGGTAGAGAGGGCAGAGAGGACAGAGAGACCGTGAGTTAGCATAAATAAATGCAGATAAAAGGTAGCGTTCGCCTTGTGTGTTATTCAATTAGTGCGAGCGAAATGTTAAATGCAAACATAGTTGAAATTTTGTTAACGAGCTAAGCGGGCCAATTAAGCGCCCAAGCAGCAGCAGCAGCAGCAGCAGCAGCGGCGGCAGCGGCAGCGGCGGCAGCAGCGTAGGTCGGAGGCCGGTGGCCAGAGGTCACATGGCAGGTGACAAGCTAAATGAATGAAGCTTAAGCCGTAGTCGCTCCCTACTTTGACCTTTGGCCCTGTAATTCGCCAGGTGAGCAACAGAGAGCGAGTGAGTGAGAGAGAGAGAGAGAGAGCGACTGCTCTGTCCGATTAATGTGCCGAGAAATTTGCATAAATTATCCCATATTGCATATTCATGGCCCGAGCCGGAGAGGACGACGTGACCCGTGACCCGTGGCCCGTGGCCCGTGTTCCGTGGCCCGTGGCCCGGAGACGTCCGCCGAAGTTATTGTGGCCGCAACAAATTATGCAACAAACCGAAAGAGAGGCATGCAGAGAGAAAAAGAGAGAGAGAGAGAGGAGGCGTGGGAGGGACGAAGAGTGGGAGTTAGAGGCATAAGTAGGGCTGGGAGTAGGGGTAGGGGGTGGCAGTTTCCATAAACGTTTGCTGCATATTAAAATTCAAATTAAATGCTAGTTGCCTCGGCTCTTTAATTTCCAGCTATGTGCCTCTCTTTCCCTCTCACTTTCTGCTTTAATGAATATTTGTTGTATTTGGAGTAAGCCTTTTGATACTCTTTCATGCAGTGCAGCTAGGCTTTATGTCGGTCTGGCTATATAGTCGCTTTCTCTATTGCCGTTCGTATGTCCGCCTGCCTGCCTACTCATCCGTCCGTTTACTCTTCTGCTTCGCTGTCTTTCCGTCCAACAGATTCCTAACTGCACATCCTACTTTCAGTCTGGCAGCCGGTCCGCTCTTCCGTTCCAGTATTTTGCTCTGGCTGTACGCACATCCGCTTGTCCGCCCGACTCTTCTTCTGCCTCTCTGCCCTGCCTCTGTCTATCTGCCTCCAGGCTCTTCTGTTGCTCTGAGTTTCTGCCTATTCGACATCCGCCCGTCCGTCCGTTTGCCTGCACATTCCTCTGACTTTAGCTTTGCTCCTCTGCCCGTCCATCAAGTAGTTGATCTGTGTGTCCGTTCGCCGCTTCCTTCTGTCCATCAGTTTAAAGACTTCAAGTGTTAACTATATATATACTATATAGTCGTATATACCCACTCTGTTCTTTTCAGCTGATCTCTACAAATAGATCTTTAAGTTATTTTTGTATCTTTTCGTCGATCGTACTGATCGGCTTTACTACTTCACGGTTGATACCAGTCTGCCCCATAGATAGAGTTATAGATACATCTCATGATATATACTCCGTATAAGAAATGTTTATTTTAGTTAAACTGTATTTTGTTTTCTCTCTCTTTTGTAGCAGAGGGCGCTTTCAAGAAACTCAAACCGGAACCAAATAGCGGAATGTCAACGGTTTCCGCTGGCATCACATCGCCCGGAAGTGGAATCTCATCATTGAGCCAACATGCCGGTCATACCCCAACCACAGCATCCTGCCCAACGCCAGCCAGACGAAGACATCGCACCACATTCACACAGGTCAGTTAACCACTGAGATAGAGAGAGGGAGAGGGAGAGGGAGAGAGAGTGGGTGAGAGGGAGTATGAGTGTGATAGACAGAGAGAGAGAGAGAGAGGGAGAGAGAGAGAGCGAGGGAGAGAGAGTGAATATGCATGTGCACCTACACGCACACACACACACTCACATATATATATATTAGGGGTATTCCCTATTTCAACCCGCCGCTGCCCTCCCCTTTGGCCCAGACGAGACCAGCTCTGCTCAGCTCAAGCACGTAGTGAGAAATTTTAATTAGATTTCGTGAAGGTTACGCTTGCAATTAAAACTTTTGGCATTTGCCAAAGTAAATGTCCAGCAACAACAACAACAACAACAGCAGCGGCAACAACAACAACAACTCACTTCGTAGATAGAGCCTAAGCATTAGAGTGTTATTTCAATCACAAATTCAAAAATTGTAATCAGCTAAACTCAATCAGGGGCAAGGACAATCCGTTAAGCAGTGTTGGAAAGTGTTGTGTGTGAAAGAAAAGTGTTGAAAAAGGCACATGGTTATGTCAGCGGATTTCTTAAAGAAGCTTTATTGATATCTATTAAAGTGCGTCAGTTCTAGTGGCTTCTAAGTGGGGCACGCAAGTGTTGGAAAACGTCTGCAGATATTCGTTAGACTATTAAATATAGCTTATGTACATATCAAAGGGAAATCATGTGATGCAAAGTATAGCTACAAAAGCGAACGTATCGAATATTGAGAGACATCAGTAGCTCTATTAAAGGGGTTTTTATGGGTCCTACAATGCAAACACAAGTGTTCGATAATGTTCAAGTGCATTTGGGCATGCATTGAAAGCAATAAAAGTAGCAAAGCTAAGGCAAGTGCTGTAAAGCGTCAAGTGGCGTATTTGAACATTACTTTTTATAGTGTTGCAAAGCACCAACTTCCGCTAAGCGCCATCAGTAATCGATAAGTGTTTAGCTATTTAGTTTAAGTCTTAAAAAAACATCAATAATATTGTAGTTCTGTTCCCAATCCCAAGTGCCTGTCTAGACTCGATGCGTAGGTCATCGATAGCTCGGTGACAAGCACTTTGAAGTGTTGTGGAACGCCACAGAAAGCGCGTTGACAGCCAGTTGGGCGGCGTGTGTCAAGCTGCGACAGCTTTAAGCAAAACTTCATTACGCTCGCCTGGAATCTGCTTAAGTAGTGTTGTTGCTGTTACGGTTGTTGTTGTTGTTCTTGTTGTTGTTGTTTGTTTGGTCTGCCTTGCTTTCTCTCTTTATTTTTTGCTAGACTTTTCGCTGGTCACTTTACAACACTGCTTTCTAATGGAAATTTGATGTTAAACTTTTGACAAGTCCTCCGAAGTGGGCAACACAATTTGCATTTGCCAAACTGAAACTGAGCCAATGGGAATACGAAAATTGTTTGGCTATGGACAAAACAGTGGGCTGGCTGGCAGTGGGGCGTGTCACTGCCCATGTCGGCATCAATTCAACCCAAGCTCTCTTAATGTTGTCTCTTTGCTGCTTATCAGAGCGATTTGCATTCAGTGAAAAAGTCAAACACAGAGAGAGAGAGAGAGACAGAATGTATATGTGTGTGTGTGTTGCAGCTCATGCCAATACATATATATTTATATTTATATATACACACATATATATAACAGAAATTAGCATAATTAAAATCCGCTTTATTTCAGGAACAATTAGCTGAACTGGAAGCGGCATTCGCCAAATCGCATTATCCGGATATTTACTGTCGCGAGGAGCTGGCGCGAACGACAAAGCTGAACGAAGCGCGAATTCAAGTGAGTATTCCATGATGCCCCGCCCGTAACAGAGCATAAAAAATACCCTAGAAAATATTTCAAAAGCGAATGGTCAACGAGATGCTGAGATTTTGACTCTATGTATGTGGAATATGCAAGCAAACTCTGATTCCCATATGAATTTGTAGCTCTCGTTCATTTAGTTGAACTAGTTCATTTGAACATGTGCAACAAGTATGCTCTATAGATATTAAATGAGTATGGTAAAGGTAAATAATTCATTGAAATTAACGTTAGTTCACTAATCGGAACTAGTTCAGCTCTTCAGTTAGCACTTGTGAGCTATATATCTCTCCATTCTATTATGAATTAGTTCATTTAATGATCGAATTCATTGCATTGGCATAGCTCTAGCTAAAGCTAACTAAAACGCATGAAATCATTCCTGAAGAGCTCTTCAAATACCGCTAATTACCTATCCATCTAGCTATATAGCTATCGATATACGTAAATCGATTTGTCGCTGGTCTTTCAATTTCCAATTTATTCCAACAGTTGTTTTCGCCCGCAGCGCTGGCAATTTGCGCACTGATGCGATTTAGGGCCATTTGCTTGGTTAGAGAGCATGCCACACACCAACTACCCCTGCCACTCAGCCCCCACCCCCAGCCGCGCCTAACTCTATATGGATGTCGCTCTGATCATCTGGGTTAGGCGATTAGTTCACGATTATTCCAATTGAATGCTTCGCTTTTGGGTGTCGCTCTAAAGTGCTCTCCGGGGCGACACGGCATCAAAGCCAAAGCCAAAGCCACCCCCCACTAGGGCGCACACACACACACCCATGCACGCCTGTCTGTGTGTCACCCCCTCTCCGCCCGCCTTGCTGTGCTGCGACTCTGTTGCGCTTTCAAGTGCGCCGCGGTAATAATTAATTTATAGTTTTTATCATGACTGCGAAACAAGTGAAGTGCAGCGGCTGCTCCTGTGGTTAGGGTAGCTCACCCCTCAGCCCTCAGCCCTCAACTCTCAGACACTCCTACCCCGCCCCTCGCAAACCCCGGGCGCATTTCATTTGCCCATTTGAGGTATAGAATTACATGTCACGGGGGGACTAAGAAAATAAAAAGGAAAAATCTCTGATTTGATCTAAGAGATTCGTGAGCTGAGAGCGAGCTGACAACCTGATAGAGTCATCTACAAATATCAATTGATAGAGTTATCTATATACATATGTATATGTATATCATATATATCAATATCGATAATTCGTACCCCATTAAATCGAAAAAATTGTATCCCCTTGAACAAAAAATTCATTTTCGATAATTATCGATAATTTGAATTTCTGTGTAAATAAAAAAAGTGATTCCCTTGCCATTTCGAATTAGCGAGACTGGACTGCATATATCCCATCATATATACAGCCTGAAGGCCGTCACTAGGCTAGACTTTCAGCTTGCTGTTAGCTAGTTGATTTCATTTAGGAGACAGTGCTGTTAACAACACTAACTATGTTTTAATTAAAAAAAAAAGAAAGCAGCCAGATAGAAACTGCTGTCAAGTTGAAATGTTTAGATTGTAGATTTATTAGGTAGAGTGTTCTTTACAGTGTTATTAACAACACTGGCTTTATTTTAGCTAAGCTTAAGACACACACAAATAAGCAAAACAGTTAGATAGAAACTGCTGTCAAGCTCAAGTAGAACTGTCAAGTGTTATTAACAACACAGTGTTGTTAACAACACAGTGTTATTAACAACACTAGCTACATTTTAGCTTAGCTAAGGCAAGCCAGACACTCCAATATCTAAACAGTTACTTTCGCTCTATATGCTGACCTATTACTGGGACAGATCTATAAAGCATATAGGATGTGTACACATAGGATCTATATATTAGATCTACATAAACAGTAGAATCATACAAGTTTATCTGGGAACCAGAATTTCCGTCGCTATTACCGTACAGACGCTACAAGCCGAGTCGTTATAACCAGATTCTACTGTATATGACCCTAATTAGTTGTCAAATAGGTTGAAGCTGATGCTATGCGCGAAGCACTTGCACTCTTGCATTAGCGAATATGAGAAATGCTTTTTAGATTTTTCAAGCAGATGTAGCAGCCGCATAGCCCCCCACTCCGATTTCCAGCTACCCCTGGCCCCCTGGTCGTCACCCTCAGCCGCTTGACGCACTACCTAAAGAAAATTTGCGATACAATTTTATATGCGACAAATTTTGTCAACACCAAAATTATGTTGTAGATATGGTTGTTGCTGGTTGTTGTTGTTGTTGTTGTTGTTGTTGTTGTTATTGCTGGTTGTTGTTGTTGCTTGTTGTTAAGTGAGTGCCAGAGTCAAGTTGTCGTCAAATTACGAACAGAGTGAAAGAGAGAGAAGGATGAAGCAGCAGCAGAGCAAACTCTACGCCTCATTATACGAGGGTTGCGGTTCTGCAGCTGAGGGTTATGTGTGTGTGTGTGTGTTTGTGTGTGTGTGCGAGTGTGTGTAAATATTTGAACATTTGTAGAAAAATATGGTTTATGCTGTGCTAATAGCAGGGCATTTGCCTGTCATTTGATCGCCAACAAATGTCCTGATTCGAGTCGCTCTGCAGGCTGCCCGCCTACCCGCCTACCCGCCTACCCGCCTACCCGCCTGCCCGCCTGTCCGTCTACCTCGAGCTCAACCCTCGCCCCTTGCCGCATTTTGCTAGTCTTTCAATTTGCTTGTTTGTTCAGCTCACATAATTATCAGATCAGAGCCAACAGCTGTATATATAACTCTATATATAGTTATATATGTATATATTTGTCATTGTTAGCCCTTTTCGCATTTTGATTATCCTCTGGAGCACAGATGCATTTCGAAGGAAGGTAAAAGCTTTTTGCTTGGCTGCGATGCTTATCTTCGTGTACAACTAATTGAGATTAGATGAGGTTTAAGATTTGTTATGAGTAGACCACGCCAAAAGATCAAGACAGACTAGAAAGAGCTAGAGTGAGAGAATGTGGGAGGAATAGCTAGAATGTAGATGGGAGTAGATGGGAGTAGATGTGAGCAACGACTGATTTAGCTAATTTATCAACTGTCACTATCATATATTATTATCATTATCATTCTCTGCCTCATTATCATCTATCATCATGATTCATATCATCAAATTGTCATTTATCATCTATCATCATAATTAAATCATCATCTCTCGTTATCCTTAGCACTAGAATTAGCATTATTATTAGCATCAGTCTTAGAATTAAAATTAGCATTATAATTATATGTTATTAATATTAGCATTATCATTTATTGTTATCGTTATCACCACTAATACTAATGTTAGTATTATTATTAATATTATCATTAGTATTGGCATTATCATCGCTATACTATAGCTCTCATCATTAATTCTAATGTTAACATTATTGTTCATCTTAGCATTAGCATTAGCATTATTATCATCACTAATACTAATATTAATTTTATCATTAATATTATCATTAGTATTGACACTATCATCTATTATTATCCTTATCAGCATTAATATTAGTATTAGCATTATCATTATTATTAGCATTAGTATTAGCATTACCATCATCATTAATATTAGTGTTAGCATTAATATCAACTAGTAAGTAGTAATTAGTATTAGCATTATTATCCATTGTTATCGTTATAATCACTAATACTAGCGTAGCATTATTAATATTGACAATAGTATTACGTTTATTTTCATTATCGTCCGTCATTATCGTATTACTTAACTTCAACAATCTGAGCTCTATTAATCTCTTATTGATCAATTGCTAAACAGTCTGTTTATAGATGTGCTATGCAGCATATAAGATGCAAGGGGAGTCGAGTAAACATATCTATATAAACATGTATCAGATATGTAATACAATATCTACTATTTACGTTAATAGAGTCGGTTTCCTTTCGATTGTTCTGTAAACAACTGTGAAATGAGTCGCATAACAATAATAGCTTAATTTACTCAGAAATAAAACGAGATGTGTATATAGACCGATAAAGGGGTGGAGGAAGGCAGAGAACGAATCGAGTTGCATAAAGAGGCGGGCGCCAATAAGTAGGCAATGGAAATTGAGAAACAGCAAAATGGATGAAACACGAACAGAACTTTAATGAAATTGAATATTTATAACATATACATTACACATACATGTATGATTACTATATACATAGTTATATGTGTGTATGTATGTACATTCGATATGTTATTCGAATAAGAATCCAGTTGGGTTTTTCTGCGGCTCCAATGAGCAGAAACAAATGTTATTGAAAAAAAATAAACAACGATGGCAACTGCATTGCAATTGGAATTAATATTCAAGGCAATCATGAATCACTACTCCAATTGGCAATTCGATATTTTGCAAGTGCTGTAAAAAACTGCACGATTTTCTGCTAAACATTAATATCAACATGCGAATCATCGCAGTCCAACTGTCATTTGTCTGGTCTGCAGCCAATGTGTAAATAAACAATGTCAACTGGACGCCAATTGGAATAATTGTCGGCTGATTGGATTGCAGCTGCACTAATGCCTCATCTTTCAATTAGTATGGCATTTTTTATGAATTTGAAGAACCATAAATCCAAATGGAGCATGATTAAGTAAATTAGATAATTGGTTCGTTGATTAGAATTATTAAAATTTTTTTAATTCGGTAGCCAAAAATATAGCAAGATTAAAAAAGAATTCAAATCCGATTGAAGTGGATTATATATATATATATATATATAGTATTCCATATATGAAGATAATTGCAATTCAACTACACAAATTGCACTAGCTTCCCGTAATTTAGAGCACAGCTCATGAAAATGGGGGAAAAACAATGAATTGATAGCCTTTAAGGAAAAGCTAATTTAACTGAAAGCCAATTGGTATGCAGAAACATATTTTCAAATTAGAAATTATGTTGAAATGAAATGTGATAACAATTCGTTTAGCTGCTTGTTTTATTTATATATTGTTTATAGGCCACACACACAGACACACACACACACGCACACACACACACGCACAGAGAATTGCATCTAAGTTCAGCTAACTCCAATTTAATAACAACAACAATGCAAAATCCCTAAACGTTGCTGAATTGAAATAACCAAAAGCACGAAAAAAGCAAAGAGACTGAATAACATTGCAATGAAACGTTATGCGGGTCAAAATTTGATTAAATGTTGAAAGTAAATTCAATTTGAATACGTTTAATTTTCATATTTCCGTCGCGGTGCTTGTCTATGTCTGTATCCTGGTGTAAGTGTGTGTGTGTGTGTGTGTTCGTGTGTGTGTTGTTGTTGTTGGGCCAGGCTATTTGTAGTTTTAATTTACATTTATCTAATTAGGCCCATTCAGAGAAACCAACAAATGAGACAAAAAAAGAAAAAAAAAACATCGCTAAACATCGCAGGCCACATTTAGTTACCAATTACCATCAACATCAAATGGCAATCCAGAATGTACAGAACGTATAAATTATTATATAAGAAAACATCGTCATAACATAGATTAGGCAACAAGGATTAGGCTGATAACATCTTAAAAAAAACAAAAATCATGCTGAAACTAAACTTATTTTTAATTAAAGCAAAAACATCGCAGAGTATAGCAGACTAAATATTAATCAAGTTTATCACAAAACAAACCGAAATTAATACTGTGTAGAGCTGAGAATATTGCCAGGATATTGTATAACACAGCTAAGGTTATTTGTATGATTGTTGAGATATAAAAAACATCGCCATGACATAACTTTCAGATTTATCTTTAGAGTTATATTCGATTAAAAAAAAAACCAAAAAAAATGTAAAGCTCTAAAACATTGGAGAGCATTACGAAATAACATATAACATAAATAATAAGCTCTTTGGCAAAGTTATTAGACTTTCTTATCTAAGCAACATCGAAAATGTATAAGAAATAAAATCAATATCCCAAATGACAATTTTCATTTAGAATAAATCAAAATGTTATACAACAGTAATAAATCCATATTACTGATATATAATGAATACCCTCGTAATTTGTGTCTTGGCATTAGCATACCCCATGGCTGGTCACCTATAGAGGGTATAGTAAAGTTCTGTGCTCGATTTTACAATTTGCCGAGTTGTTTTTTTTTTTTTTTATTTTTTTTCCTCATAGCCATTTTTTATGTATTGCATCTATATGTAGGACTGTGTGTGTGTGTGTATGTGTATGTGTGTGGGCGGAGTAACTCAATTAAGGATCCATTTGATGGCTGGCACACACACACACACACACACACATACATACATATATACATATGTATGTACATACAAATATACAAACAGCTAGACAGTCAGTCGAAGCAGCATAGAAGGCAGTTTGCAACCCTCCAACAAATGGCTAAGAGCATTTTTACCCACACACACACACACACCTACATACACACCTACATACACACACGCACACATAAGCATGGGCTGGCATTTTTATGCTGGCAGCCAACCAAATGAAACCGAACGAGCCATCAAGTGGGCACAGAAAACAACCCCGAAAGCCAGCGAGCGAGCTGCAGGCCTGCTTGTATTTTTCATTAAAATACACACACACACACACAGACACACCGAGAGAGATACACTCAGGCCCTCACACACACATAGCCATGGACAAAGATAATAATAATGATAAAATAAATACAAGAAAAATGCCAAAGACGTCCAAAGACGTAGCAAGCTCAAGTTGAAGACAACGACAAATACCCACCACACTCACAGGGCAGTTACCCACACCCGTCGCTATCTCCCCACACCCCACACCCCACACTCCACGCCCAGCACTCGCTCGCTCGCTCGCTCACGCCCTTCAGATGTCTGGGCCCGCGCCATTACGGGCGACTTGTAAGCAAGTCAAAGTAAGCTGAGGCGAGCGCAGCTTTCAAAATGTCGGAAATTTTTACACACAGCCCGTCGCCTGCTGCCGCCGCCGCCCTCTTGCTCTCACTCCCTCGTACTCCCACTCTGTTGGCCGCTAAGCCCACTGGCAACGTTGTCTATGCTCGGCGCGCGGCTTTCATCTTGGCAATTTCTTTTTGCCATCAGCACCGGCAGCAGCAGCAGCAGCAGCAGCGGCAGCGGCAGTAGTCGGGACCCCAGTCGCAATCGTGAGGACCATCTTTAATAATGTCTAAGCAGAAATCCCCCCCACACCCCACACCCCCCACCCGATGCGGCCCCCACTCATTGCAAACAGCGTCGTCAACTTATTTTCAATTTCAATTTTGTAGATTTTTTCACTCATAAGACGTCGCCCGCAGTCTAAAGTGAAATGCTTGGGTGTATTCGTGTCTGTGTGTAAGTGTGTGCATGGATTGGGGCAGCCATGTTTTTTTTCCGCCTTGCCTTTTTTCCATCATTCGCTTTACGCTCGCTTTTTATTTTTTATGCGCACAGCGTTGCCAAGTGCTGCTGCCGCTGCGGCTGGCATTGCTGGTTAATTTAGCAAACAACTTAAAGGTCTGGCAACGCTTTAATTGATGTTAAATCATCGTTCTCCCTCTCTCTCTCTCTCTCTCTCTCTGTGTCCTCTTGCAGGTTTGGTTTCAGAATCGACGCGCCAAGTACCGCAAGCAGGAGAAGCAGCTGCAAAAGGCATTGGCACCATCTGTGATCCCGTCGTGCAACGGCATGATGCGGAACATTCAAGGCTATAGCGTCTCTCGCGGCTATCAGCCCTATCCACATCACAATACCATGAATCGTTATCCCCAGGTAAGGCTGCACGCATGCACACACTCACACTCACACCCACACCCACACCCAACACGCTTCCGCATTTATGATAATTAATTGTTTTCTAACACTTGCAGGATCTGTTCCAAATGGGCGCCTCCTCATATCCGGGCATGACGCAGCCATTTTCAATGGCCCACGGCACAAACATGGGCTCGGTGGGCGTGCGCCAGGACTCGATGGGTAAGTACGCAAAGCAAACAGCTATCGATAACAATTCCAATTGGTTGGCACTACTCACGCTTTCGTTCCGTTTTATCTCATGCCTTGCGTCTCACACCTCAAACCTCACCTCAAAAAACCGTTCTCTTTATCCCGCACTCTCACTGCACTTGTTTCTTAATTGGGCTTGGCAAACGTTTCGACACTTAGCCGCCCGTCGACTAACTAAGAATATTCGGCTTCTGTTTGCGCCTTTTTCTACCTGCTAGCCGCTCGCTGCGATCGGCTGCTCGCAGCTTTTTCACGAGCTTCGGCTCTCTCGCGTCTCAAGCTGAGCTTTGCCTTAAGAAAGTTGAGCGCAACTCTTTAGCGCTGCGACAACACAATTTGCGAATGAGAGTAAGACTTTAATTGGAAATCTGTGTGTAAAGAGAGAGAGTCAATAAGGCATACACACATACATTTACTATGGCCATTTGTATATTACCTATACTAATATACTATATCATATAATCACGATAGGCTCAATAAATGTAGTTCGTTTCCATTGCGTCCATCAGTTCTATTGCAACAAGTCATTTATTTTTAAAGTTAGCCTATAATCGATAAATATCGATTATCATTTCCCATTTAATTGAGTATTCAGATATAGATAGAAGTATATATATAGAAATATACTTATTTAGTAGACACTTCTATGCTAGAAACAATTTAATTCATAAATCCCATAAAAATCTTTACGCATATTTTTTAAATATGAATGGTATGGTCACCCTTTAATGGCCATGATAGCATATGCTCTCTACGATAAAAGCGCAGAAAGCTTCGCTGCCTCTCCCATACTCCCTCTGCCACTCTCTCTGTCCTTCTGCGCCCTTCACTATATATAACCCTCTCTTTTTATCATGCACTCAGCCATTCTTTTAGCTCAAAGATTCGTTCTCTGAGCGAATTTTCAGCAGTCTCATAGATTCTCGGCAGAAAGCTACGATTATCTCATAGAAATGAAATCCTAATACGCCATATTTCTCCTATATATGTACATATGTATGTGCATGAATGCATATGTATAAATTCTATGTGATTTTCGAGTTAGCGTAAATTTCCGTTCGCAGTCGGCTCCATTAATTCGAGCCATTTGTCTGAAGTATGAAATTTTTGTTTATTGAGGCGACGTCGCGACGGCTGATAAGAAAATGGAGAGGGGGAGGGGGGGAGGGCAGAGGAAATTGGTCGGCAAGAAGGGGATCTTCCGAGCTCGGAGCCGTAAACAGAAAATTGAAAGATAAGCAGCGCAACTAAACAAACCTGTAAATGCGATTGACATTAGATATAGAGGCATAAAGCGCCCAGACAGAGGGACGTATATGGCCGGGGGGTTAGCGGGGGAACTACTTAACCGGATATTATTAACTAAAAGAGAGGAACTAAGAGAGAGGAAGAAAGCGAAGGAGAATGAAGGACAGAGAGACAGAAAGAGAGAGATGGCTGCAAGGCAAAAGTCAAGCCGACGACAAATCTGCAAATGAATTTCCGGCCAAGGAAGAAAACGAAAATAAACGAAAAAAGCGAAATAAAGTCAAGACAAGTTTCTCAAGTCCAGTTAGGCATAGCATCCTGTGTCTGTGTGTGTGTGTGTGTGTGTGTGCGTGTGCGTGTCTGGGTAAGTTCGTCTCGGCCCATTTTCCATTTACGTAGCGGAAATCTTGAATAATCATCGAAATATGTGCAGCTGATTCATCATAACCTCTAGCCTAATTCAACCTAACCTCATTGATTTTTGCATTTATGTAGCGGAAATTTTGAATAGTCACAGTTAATGCATAAATCTATATATTAGGATTACAACTTGTTGATTAAATCAACACTTGGCCTAATCTTCAATCCGATTGTGTTTTAATGGCAATGTAATCTCACTTTTATGCAATGATTTATCATTAAACTTGTTAATTATGATCAAAAATAATAATAATCAAATAAGCTGACCTTCAACTTAACCTTATTTGGCATACCCTCACCTGACACTTCATATTTCATGCGAATAAATTCACCGACAATTCCATATAAACATACTGACATATCAGCCATACAGCTTTTCATTCTAACCCAACTTTTATACAACCCAACTAACAATGCTATATTTTCTCCTTTCTGCTTTCAGGCATGTCACCGGAGGACGAGTGGTATAACAAAAGTCTATCCGCATTGCGCATGAATAGCTCGCATCATCCGAACTTATCGGCGCCGATGCTTCAATACCAAACATAATCAAAAACCTTTGACGACTTCTTTTAAAGGAACCTTTAAGTCGATCATCGATTCTTGATATTCGACTTGATTCCTTTAAAAGCGAGTGCGTCAAATGGACTAGGAATTAGACAACTTCATATATATATATATATATATATATATATAGTAACACTCGGGTGTACATAATATGTATGTATGTATATATATATGTATATGCATACGAATATTATATACATATATATATATATATACTTGGGCTTAGCTATAAATCTGTATCTGTATGTAGAACTATTTAACTATTGAATGTCGTGCTCTAACTCTATGTATACCTACATATATCTATATACACATACATATATAAAATATACATATATATATATACTATATGTATATATAAACAACATCTATATAATTGGTAAGACTTGTTGATATTTTGTCTATGTAATTCCCATAAATATATATATACATATGTATATATATATATAATTTTTTTTTTTTTTTATTCTAATAGGCTAACTAGTCATAGCAACTAAGCGAATTTGTGTAATTAAGATTTTAGCGTGAGATTATAAAATATACAGATCAATCAATCGATCGATCGACAAAAAAAAAATAAAACAAAAAACAAACAAAAAACCAAAGCAAACGAATTGATAAACGAAGAAAAACGTAAAAAAAGACAAATATTGTATGATACGCATAAGCACTAACCTTAATGTATACTACACAAGATAAATCAGCTGTAAGACAGATTGTTAATAGCAAGAATACAACTAGAACTAAATGTCACTCGTCACTCGTCGCTCGTCACTTTTCCTTACCGCGCGATGTACTCGTTACTCGCTATTCGCAACTCGTCAGTCACACTCGTTACTCGCTACTTCATCTTCAGTCCCTCTAGGGAAGGGTTTGGGTTTACTTGCCACTCGTTGCCACTCGTCACTGGGGATCACTCGCTTTTTCCACCCGGTACTTCACCTACGGGAATTGTAAAGGTGCTCAGATATAAAAGAGTTTTAGTCGCCACTCGTTACTCATAGCTCGACACATCTCTAGTCCTACTGAGGTGCTCTGATTTATCGATTTTCAAACCACTCGTTACCCACTAAAAGGCCAATCATACTAAACTCAAGTGAACTCGCTACTCGCATATATCAAACTGACTGAGGCACAACGAATTTAAGTTCACTCATCACGCTTTGGCTCTAGTTTCTCCCGAAATGTCAATAGCTGAAGTACAACGAATTACCCTGCACTCGTTACTCGTTGATCGAGTATCATCATTTTCAGTCAGCTATAGCGAGTTTCAGTTTGTTCCCCACTCCCCACTCACATTTCGCCACATTGACAACAGAAGTGAGATGAAACGAGATTAGAATTAATTCCAACTTACCCGCTCTTAAATACCCCCCCTCGCTCGTATCTCGTTAGGTTTTAGATAAACAGCAGCGAGTGCTAGAAGACAGCTATACGAAAACGAAACAAAAAGTCATTCGCACTATTTCAACTTGTGTAAACTAATTGTAAGTGGATTTTTTTTAGCTAAGCAATGCATAAACGAGAGTTAAATTTAATAATTTAAATATAAAAACAACTAAACTAGATAAAAGAAGACAAGAAAAACAAAAACTACAACCAAATACAACTAAAAAACAAAAAACAAAGAAAAAAAAAACAAAAAAAAAATATACATAACTATATATATTTAAATACGAAAAAAAAAATTAAATTAAAACAAAAAAACATGTTTAACAATTTATGCCAAACAACAGCAAAATGAAACATAAATAAAAACTAAATAACAAAAAAAAAAAAAAAAAGAATTTCAATATCTTCTCACTGTATACCCTGTAACTATGGTAATGCGGCCAAGCAGCGTATATTACTTACTTACTGAAGGAAGAGTAGAAGAGCAGAAGAGCAGAAGAGAATAAGTGTAAACGAGCCATGAGCTTACAAATATGAGGGCTTTAAATTATTTGAGCTTAAGAGACTAAGAGTATACGAACATAGAAAAGAGAGTATAAGAGAATTTTAGCTTCAGTTCTTAAAAGTATTAGAAGACGAGAATATAAGACTAAGAGAGCAGAAGAGTAGCATTTTGTAAAAGCCAACGCTTGTAATAGTATGCGAGTAGAAGAGTATTGCAGTATATGAAAAGAAAGCAGAAACGTAGAAGAGTAGACAGCATAATAGTGCAGCAGTAGAAGAGTGAAAGAGTATATGTACTTAAGAGTATCACAGTTTATTCGTATGCGTATAAGTGAGTATATAAACATAAGTGCATGACACACACACGCACATTTGTGTGAGTGTTAGTGTAAGTGTATAGGATATAAGAGCTGAGCGATGCAATTTTGAGCAATAAGCAACAGGTTATATTAATTTTGCATAATTTGTGTTGCTATGCTGCCTCAATAACATTTATTTTTTTCCTTTTTGCCCAACTGAATGCTGGGAACTAAAAAAAAAAGGAATTAAAACAAACATGGAGGGGGAACTCGCGCTGACAGTGTCAGCACATTCTCTAATGGCGCCCAAATGCTGAGCGGTTTGATTCATAATTATGACGGCATAGCTGTATATTTACATATGCGTAACCACATAAACATATATCACATACCTTGGCAGTCTCGTCGGCTTTGGACCTTGAGGGGCACAAGAATTGCTCAGTAAACAGAAATCTCTTAATGCTAAGACAAGGCCCAACTGGCTCCACTTACGCATACCCAGCATAATCATTATTCATTAATTACTCGCTATAATCATCAAACTCGCATGGATTTGTGTACATTGAATTTTTATTTGATATATTTTGTATAACTGGCCTATCAAAAATTGTTTCATCTGAGTGTCATTCAAAGCTTACACAAGATTACATAAATAAATAGTACATGTATACCAAAGATAGTTTTTCACTCGTTATTTTCTTACTCGCTACTCACTGCCCGCTACTCGCCACAGTTTCATCTTCGTCGTTCCAATAGAATTTTGCTTTTGTATAAAAACAAAACAGACAAAATCAAAATAAAGTTATTAGCTAACATAGTTGAGTCCATTTTTTATAGTCATTCGTTACTCTCTACCCGTATCTCGTTACTTCTTACTCGCTACTTGCCACAATTTCAGTAAAGTGAGAGACTTTCAAGAAAATTTAACTGGCGTAACTTTTACATAGGCTTAACAATAGAAACCAGTTTGAGCACATTCATACAACACATACATATATAACAACATTTATCTCGTCACTCGCTCGCTCTCGCTCGCTGCTTCTCTCTCGCTAAGCGACAGACAATCGATTCATCTATCGAGTGAAGTTTGCAACTTTTACACTTACAGTAAACATAGATACGTACATTGATATTACAATAATTTGTCATTCACCATTATTTTCGCTCGTTACTTGTCACAATTTCATCTGTTGAGTCTTACAATATCTTAGATTAGGGAACAGCTCAGATTATCTTAATGATTATATATTATATGAGAGTAAATTGTGTATGATTCGTCACTCGCCATGCCCTCTAATCACTGCCATCAATATATATATAATCTTGCTTCGGTTCTAATACATTTATATAAAATATAATGTCTCACTTTCTAGTCTCTACTCGTCGCACGACACCCTGCTTCCCAGTCGTTATAATAACAGCACCGGGTGTAAAAAAAAAAAAAAAAAAAACAACTTCTCAAAGCTCAACAGCTTACAGCTATGCATGTACATACATACATATATCACTTGTGGTTCCCCACCCCCACCTCGTCAGTAAATGTCACTCGTCACTCTGTCCGTAGCTCGTCACTAATCCTCACTCGCTGCTCCTCACTCACTGCTCTCTGAATCTATAAAAGAAAGAATGTTAGCATATAACTATTTATTCGGATTTGGATTAGGATTTGGATTTGGATTGGATGATACTTGTACTTGAGGTTCCTACTATAATTGTCTAGACACATTAACACAGTAACGAATTGAATGAATCTTATGTTGGGAATATGATAATTATTGAGCTGTTCGCACACGCACACCCGCCCTCTTCCAACACCGCCATCATCCTCTGCTGCTGTCACGCCCACTTACATGGGTGTCAGCCAATCAGGGGGCAAGCAGCGCTCAAGGAATGGCACACAGCCAACGAAGTGTGCCAATCGATTGATCCAACCCGGAATCTGCCGGCCACACAAAATACGAGACATTGCATCCGAGAAGTGATTGCAGTTGTGGCTGGTCAGGTGGTAGCTGTTGCCTCTGAACTGCCATCCCAGTTGCTCCACAAGGCGGCGCACCTCGTCGCGGCTTAGATGCGTGTGGCCCAGGTGAATGCTTTCGCGATAGCGGAAGTTTTGGCCCAACTCCTGTTGAGCACTGCGCGGCGCCAACTCAAAGATGCCCGTATTGCTCAGGCTATGCCCGCCAAAGGTGTACTCCGTTCCATACACCTGAATGCCGGTGTGAAAGATGCCCAGGCCAAGTGGCGTTACATATTCGTTGATAGTAAACAAATCGTAGACATTCAGGATAACGGGCTCCTTACGCACGGCCCCATTCAAAGGCAACAGCTCCTCGCAGCTTTCGCTGTTGCCGCTAAAGCAGCTGAACAACGGCACTCGGTTAAAGAACATGCTCATTTTGCTCATTAGTTTCGGGGGTGGGCTGCCGCAGTTACTGCACACGCCAACACACACATGCACACACACGAGCAGATATAAAAGCACCCACGCACCCACACACACAAGCACGCACGCACGCAGAAGTACAAACACACACGCTCACATGCACTCGCTCGCTCTCTCACACACGCACACAAATGCACTTGCACAATTGTTGCTGTTGCTGCTTGTTGCTTTTTGTTTTTGTTTTTTTTTTTTTCTTTCTTTTTCGTTTAACTCCGCAGCTCGCTGCTCTCCTGCTTGCAACTGCCGTTGGTTTTGCTGTTGCAGTTGTTGCTCTCGCGTGTGTCCTTTTGCTTTTGTTTTAATTGGTTTTGGCCTTGCGTATGCTTCTTTTAATTTTGCTTTTGCTCTTCCTTGCGCTACTCTCTCTTTGTTTTTACTGATTACCGCTGCCGCTGCTGTTGCCTTCGCTCCCGTTTGTGCTCCACTGCCTTTGCTTTGTTTTCTTTTCAGTTGTTTTGCGCGTATAATTTTGAATTTGATTTTATATATTTTGTACGAT